TCACTTCTAGGAAACCATAATTAAAGTTCATGAAAATTGATGACCCCTAAGATTTACTGCTCAAAATAGGAAATACTTGTTAATGGATTTTGAACCGGGATATCCACCAAATGAATCATCATATTTCTTTCTAGGAAATACTTGGCTAGGCATATAGACCACTTCGGTGATATCACCATCATCTGCAACTATAAATTTAGAATTTCGAGATACCTATGATACCTTCTGCTTTATTCGTTAGGTGCATTTCGTGACCAATCTTCTCTTCAAGCTTCGATGGGAAGCAACTCTACTGGCCGACGGCCCGACGCATCGCAGGCCCCCACATCGGCGCCCGCATCCAGCAGCTCCGCCACACAGTCGTTGGCTGAGACGAAGAAAAGGAGGGAAAGGGAAGACTTCAACAAAAGGATGTATATAATTTTATATAATCAATATGATTTGTGCGTGTCTTTTTTCTTTCTTTGGTAAAACAGGGCTGAAGAACGAAGACTCTGTAAGAAGTGGAAAAAGATTGTCTTTGATGTCGCAAACACTGCAAAGCAAAGGCATGTCTATCATCTCTGTCCGACAAAGTCCGGAGTTTCCTGTCTCTTGTGTGCCTTGGAAAGCTGCCCAATGCAAAGGCGTTAGGCCTTGCAAATCTGGAGTCGAAAGATCGGCCTGAGCTCGATGTGTTGCTCTGCTTTTTTAGATCTTCAATCGCGTCAACTTGATCCGGAGCCAACCAATCAAGCGAACAGGAATTGAGATGCATGTGGCTGACAGCACCAGGCCAAGACACGTTCCCCTCCATCAAAGCTTTTGCAGATCTGGTACTGCCAGCTACAACTGCATGGTGTAAAGCCTGCCTCGGTCTGAGGGAACATGATCAGTGTCTTGTATCAGTTTCTGGCCACAACCCATCAGATAAAAGAAGCGTGAATTATATAATTGTTAAATATATACCTAAATAAATACATCTAAATACCCAGAACATCTTCGCTTCTGCTGTCCCCCACCAGACTGCTTGTTGGACAATTCAGAAGCAACATGTCGGCCAAATTGAAAGCAAGGACTGGCAGTACCTTAAGGTTGGCCTTAAGATGTCTTACTTAAGATGCCGCTTTTGATCCCTTCTTATTACCCTTTGTTGTCACATGTTTTCACCCCTCATTTATTGAGTTTTGGACTTTACGATCTTTAGGTCTATGTCGCTAGAAAAGTGTTCGAACGAAGTCTAAACGCAGCTTCGCACACCACCCGTCCATCAACGTCGACATGAAGGCCGCGCTCCTGAGAGACACGACAAGCAGAGTTGCTGTGGAACATAATGCGACGGCCAAAACCCGGACCCGTGACTCTTCCTTTGGCCAAAATGACTGGTCCTCAAAGGCTCCAGCTTCTTTGGCAGGCCCTACCACGGAGCATAAATGGCATGGCAGGTGCAAGAATCTTCAAAAATTGCATGACATGATGAAAGCCTACATGAGCTTGCATGAGCTTATGCCGATCTGTGCCTCTGCGTCAAATCCCGGCCGAGGCTGAACTACCCGAGGAGGTCTTGCGCAGTCGATGCCTTTGCCGCGGACGTGCTGCCAAAATTTTGTCACTTTGTCTTGGCATTCCTAGTAACTGCTAGCATTATTACTAGTAGCATCTTGCTACTAGTAGCGATGCACTTGTTACTAGTAGCTTCTTGCTCAAACAAGATTGGAGTCAATGACAGCCCAGTTGCACAGGTCGTGATCACACGGCCAGCAAGTCCAGTACACAGGCTGACTGTGCAGCTCCTGCTTGCGGCAAAGATCGCAGTGTGGTCTTCGGTGACATCTATCTTTGCAAAGCCTGTCGGTGTGCAGCATGCAAGGAAAGAAAGCCAGAGAGTACGTGGCACCAGCGTCCACACGATAACCCCCGATCTTTCAAGTGCAAAACAAGCTTGTTGAAGGCTCGCCTCTCCATAGGGTGAAGCCTAGGACAAAGTACGCCTGGGGGCAAAGGTAAGACAGCACCTGGGCGCATCTGGAGGCTCACTTGGCAGATTAACCACCGTCGACGTGGCGACAACGCACCTTCAACATGCATCAGCACATCGTCGATGGTCTTCCACTCCTTCGAGATTCCAAAGAACTCAAGTGATTCTTTACGACAGTCAACAGCCAGTTGCACCCGCACCCCTGCTTGTGGCGCCTGGCTTTGACTGCCCACCATGCAGCTTGACGACTCTGGCCCTCGTGCAAGATTGACCTCCGGTTTGCTGCACTCCCACGTATAAGGCATGTTTTCCGCTCAAACCTCCGCACTTCATGCAACGTCTCACTCCATGCTGTCGGGTGCTTTGTGTTCGTGTGGAGCGCTTTGTCACGTTCTTGTTTGGGCCTGGTCCCTTCCTTTCCTTCCGGGCCAATCTTCACAGACTAAGTAGTGAATAAACTCTGGTCGTTGCCTCTGCACCAGCAGCCAAAAGAAGCTCCACCAGCTCTGCGTCATCTACCGTGGCCGCCAACATGAGTGCACCTCCAATTGAGTGTTCCCTACTCAGCTCTGCGCAAATGTTTGGTGTCAAGCAGCTTTTTGCAGAATACCATGAAACGTCCTCTATATAACCCCGCATGTTTTGAGTCAGTTATAGGCTGATATAGGCCAATATGGGCATAACACACACTCCATGCCGGGGGCACTGACGCCATCGTGCCGAACCACGCTGGCAGATGCACCCAACGTCAGCAGCTTGCGGGCAGCTTCTCCCTGAAGTCAAATCGGAGGCGTTGTTTCACAAACATGTGTGGCCTCGGAAATGGATATAAATGGTATAATGGTTAAGTATGCGAAGGGAGGTCTACATACAAGTACCAAACTGGCCAGCCTTTCCCTATCTTTGACCTACCCACCGGATAACGAAATCATAGCTGCCCTGCCGACGCAAGGTTAGCAGTAGATGGCCCAATGCTATGCTGTTCCCGGGAAAGTGAGAAGCAGAAATTCTGGGCAAAGGACACGTTTCTCTTTTGGCAAACCAAAGTGCACGGTTTCTCTTTTGCTGTTGGCCAAATGCCACCAACACATCTGCAGCCTTTCATAGCAAGCCTGCGGCCCCAAGAGGTTCTCTTTCGTCCGGGGAGTGGTGCACTTCTGCAAGGCGACCAGCAGCGGAGGGCACCCGCTGGGCCCCACCTGAGAAAAGCGTCAGCTTAAAACTTGAATCTTCAGGAGAGAGAGAGAGAGAGAGAAAAGAAAACCCAAAGATTCCAACAAGACCACAAACGCAAGGTTGGAGGCCATCGCTATCAGGATGGAGGCCATTGCTAGTAGGTTAGATCGCTATTAGGAAGCCATTGCTAGTAGGTTGGAGGCCATCGCTATTAGGAGGCCATCGCTAGTAGGTTGGAGGCCATCGCTAGTAGGTTGGAGGCCATCACTTTTAGGTTGGAGGCCATCGCTATTAGGTTGGAGGCAACAAGGCCTTCCAACCTCATCACCCTGCCCAACCTTGAAGATTCTTTGTGGCCAAGTCGCTCCATTGACATCTCCCCCTCGCTGTATCAATTCTTCCACGATGCCAACTGCACCAGCCCCAGCCGAGGCCTCCAAAGCAGCACATGTCAAGGTGCCTCAGTTGGGGCTCGGGAAAGCTGTTGTAAAGAGGTGGATCACTCCAGCTGGTCATCATTTGCATTCTTTGCATTCCTCTGAATACATCTAAGTACTAATAAACTGAGAATGTAGAGAAACGAAAGCCAGTGCCCTCCAGGTTCTTTTCTTCGACTCTCACAACCACCCACTGTCTCGTCGCAAGTGTATGTTTGTTCGAACACCCAGGGAACAAGGGTCAATTACTCTGGCAGCATTTCTACAAACAGGGGAGCTGTCAAAGCTTGAGACGAGAGCCCATGAAGACGTCTATTTTCAGATTTCTTTGCTATCCAAACGAATAAACTCAAGTCTCGACATGTCACCAACGTTGGAAATCTCGGTGCAGCCATGACTGCACCGCAAGTCTCGCAGGTCTTCTGTGAGAGAAGGCAGGTCGTCAATCACATATTACTGCAAACAACCATTTTGCATCATTTTGCTGTATGCAAGCCATAAAATCCTTGAATTGAACCCTTCAAGGTATCCGAAAGCATGATCATCATCCACTCGACCGGGGGGATTAATTGAATGGCACCATCACCTTGTCCTTTTATGTCCTTTTGATGTTTTTGTGTGTGTTCGCCCCCTCCACGCTATAGTTGCTTCGTTTCCAAATCTACAACTCAGCCTGGCCGGCGGCCTACCAAACTAGCTTTCGCGACGAAGTCCTATACAAACTGAAAGGATTGTGTGGGCTTCAAAGTCTCCAAGTGACACTTCGCTTCCAAAAGCATCTTGACGATGTCACCGTAGGCTGCAGTACTTCCTGGTGGACCTGACAAATAGGTGCAATCTCCTTTGTTCCTAGTAGCTTCTTGTTCCTAGTAGTAAGGCCAGGAGCCCCTAGTAGCGTCCTTGGTCCTAGTAGCGATGCCCTATGCTCCTAGTAGCTTCTTGCTCCTAGGTGCAATCTCCAAGATGTCGTGCGGAGCGTCCGAACTGCACGTCTGACGTGTCCGACAAACGTCGCATGACACTGTCATGCTGGATTTGGAGTCTTCTGGAGTCTTGGCAGAATATGTTCATCCTTGGACGCCCCAACATTGAAGAGCGACGATCCAAGCCTGTGTTGCCCTCGATGCTATGACTTCCACAGCCAGCCGCCAGCTCCAATGGCGATGGCACAGGCCCAGTGTCAACAAATGGACCGGCCTCCAACAGCTCCTGAAGGCGACGTCTCGCCCCATGCCTGGATGACAATTTTCAACCCCGCCAAGCACTCCTTGATGACTGCTCTTTTTTCTCGGATCTTTGTAGGATTCTTAAACCATAGCGCTTGTCATCTCGGCATTTCGACCCTTCGACACTCCTGCACCACCTTGACATGCCCTGCATGGCAGGCCAAATGCAAAGCAGTGTTGCCTGTCAGGTCCATGGCTTGCAGCTCAGCACCCACAGCCTAAGGCAAAACCAAAGCACAACCGTCGTGCAGTGTCCAACGGTCTCTGGGAGTCTGTGCCAGTTGGGTCAAGACTTGGCTCAATAGGAATAAACAAACAAGCGATTTGGGATGAAAAAAGAAAGATATATATATATATAAGGGTCCCTCTAAAGAGGTCGTATATTCCTTTTTCATCTCCGACTTCTTCATTTGTGTTCTTTCTTCAAGACCATCGTATCATCTGACCTTTCAACCTTTCCTGTCGTCGCTCGCGGCTCGAGGCCCAGCCTTCAACACGCGTAGGACTCCCAAGTCGCCAAGAGCAACCGTCAAGTGTAAGGCCGTCTGCCCGGTGGATGGTAGCCGTGCATGAAGATCTGCTTTCAGCCTAAGCACTGGCGCTCATGGCCCACCCGAGTTCACCCAGCATGGCAACTCCGAGCGTCATCAAGTACTGTATCAACATTAAGTTTCCAAAAATCTAGGAACCAAATCATCAGTGCGAGCCCTGCTGGGCCTCCCGGCTGCAGCAACTTCTCCACAACACCACCAAGGCCCAGCTGGGCCGCCAGCAACAACGGAGTCGCTGCCTTTTGGAGCGGGCAGGTCCAGCAGGTCAGGGAACACCCTGATTCCGACCATCTGACAAACCAACCTCCCTTAAGAGAGATGATGTTTTTTCAGCAAAGGTGTTGTTGACAGAAAAGGATGGCCAAGGCACTTCAAGTCCAAGAGTTAGACTCAAAATAAGGTGCCCTCGCCTGTCCCGCTCTGGAGATCCACTCCACCTTCGGGGGGTGGCATGGGCACGATGTTATCTGCCTCGCAACACGGCTCAAGTGTGCTGCAGGTGCTAGGTGCAGCTAGAATCTCGTATCTGGTGAACATTGGCTCAATTTCTTCAACAAGCCTGCCTTAGCCTGTGCTTGCTGTTGCTTTCACAACATCTCAAAACTCCGTGCCATGCTCCTGCCTCTCGTCGAGTGCCATCAGTGGTCCATTGTCCCATGGGCGGCTCAGCAGTCTCTTCATGTGGAGCAGGCATCGAGTAGAAGAACCGCTCCTGGCGACGCAAGGCAAGAGTGATTGGCTTCTATGATCACTTTTGATCACCTTTTCTTCAGATTGGATCAGATTCCAGTGGATATTTTCACGACCTGCAAGGCGCGTGTTGAGGGCCTCCACCTTACTCCACCAACCACCCTGCTCCCGCTCCGTTTCCGAGTCAATAGCATCTCTCGAGAGGCCAATCTTCCACCAATCGCGGCAATACCTTGAGCTCCAAATAGGCAGGCTTAGTTCGACACTGCCCCAATGCCTTTCATGACTTCGGCTTCCCCGTAAAGGCGCTCAGGCTGTTAGCTGAAAGCTTTCAAGGTGACAAAGCCTCCGCAAACTGCTTGGCATAGGTGCATAACTGCACCAAAAAGGTTTTCATATAGCGGTCGACCGCGGAATTCACCGACCTGGCAAAGTGATGGGTAAGGGTTGCTTTAGACAGTTTATACACTATTTGCCACAATGTGCACCATGCACACTCTAATTCGCTCTGCGTGTCTTTCTCTCTCTCTCTCTCTCTCTCCCTCGATACTTGTCAAGAATTGCTTGGTATGTCATGGTGGTCTTGGCCTGCTGGTATGGTCCATTCACCTTCGCACATCCAGCCTGACAAAGCCAAGATTAGAAAGAAGCAGTCAGCAACAGCAAAGTGAACAGCAAAGTGCTTTTTGATGTCCGTCAAAGCAGTGCTCTTCATGCCTCGAACTGCTTCAAAAGCAATCATCATAAGAATCAGATTTGATCATCTATACAAGAACCTACAAACCTACAAGGTGTTGCGAGACCCGCCTTGGAAACCAGGAGGCCACTGTGGGCTGTTCTAGCCTCCAGATTGGCCTTGTGCTGAACCAGCAGCTCTATGATCTCCTCAAAATTGGGGTACGTTACAAGTAGGCTCAAGTCATGCACTGAGTGGCCAGGATGCGTGTCTCCCTGCTTGTCCACTCTAGTGACTCACTTCTTCTTGCCAAGGCTCGACGTTGCCAGCCTGCACTGCCGTCAACAGCCCAGTGAGGTCCATGCCTGGCAGATTCGGAAAAGGAGGGTAGGAAGGTCCAGGAAGCTACCAGAGACATATGTCAGGATCCCAAATATTCGTCCAGAACAGGTCAGAATCGATGAAGATCTGTATTTTTGGAGGCTTTCACCGTACAGGGTTTGATTGGTCCGGCCGTCCATGCCAAGTGACAATTCCGCAAGTTGGCGACCTCCGGGATCTCTAGAATGGCTTCAACCTGAAGTTGTTTCGCAACATGAGCCAGAAATCTGACATCTCCGTCTTCAGATAAGCTATCTAAACAAGGGAAAATGACAGAATGCAGGACATACTTTCTCGCACCAAAAGCCAAAGTTCTTAAGTGAAACCTGCGGTGGTAACGAAGCTACACTAGCAATATCCAAGGGGCACATTGCAAGTGGTGCCTCTCAATAGCAGCTCCTTGAAGCTATCGACAAACAAAATCTTTTCAAGCAAGCCCGGTGATTTAGCAATTGGATCTCAAACGAAGCATTGAGCACAAATGAAGGTGACAAGCTCCACCATGCTCCACCATCTTGCGGTTGCCCGTCCTAGTGCATCAGCGCAAAGAGCACTGCCACGAGCTTCATCGGCCCAATCTGTTGCAGCCAGTAACCGCCTTCAGTGAGTCACTCAGTGAGCTTCACTTGCAAAGATCATCTAGTCTGCTATGTTCGTTCGCTTTGTCAGCCATTAGAAACAAGAAGCTAGTAGTAACAAGTGCATCGCTTCTAGGAACAAGTGCCTTACTATATAGTAGTAACAAGGTTTGCTACTAGGAGCTAATTTCGTTCCTCTCAAGGCAAAGTCAACTCTTCCGATTGTCCGACGCCTCACGACCGGAAAGTGCCCCTGTCCCGACGCTAGCTGAAGTGCGCTGGTGCCAGGGCCAAAGCCGGCCTGAACTCCGTTGGTTGCTCTGAACTCGGACAGTTCTACGATTTCATGTTTGTCACTGAAGACTATTAGGTTGGAGGCCATCGCTATTGACGGGAATAGCACATTGTATACCCTCTAGCAGTTCTACAGAACAGTACCCAGGTGCTCTAAACCACCAGGAGATCCAAGTGGCACAACACGTTGTGGTCAAGAGCTAAAACACTTGCAATCTTCATGAACATTGATCAAACGGGTGAGCAAAGCAAGCTTGTTGGGTGGAGGGTGTTGCATTCAAAGGATTGCACTTCCAAGCAGAAGCGGCTCATAGAATGTTAGGAGACTGAGATTGAACAATCGTTTTCCAATCCAAGGTGCCGTAGTTGTTTTCAGAGGGTCGGCCTTTTTGGACAGCAGCTCTTCAACCACGTCCTGACGACTCAAACCACTTCACCTAAGCTTCAACCAGTGCTCTTGATTGGAGGATCATGGAGGTTTCTGTGCTCCACCACAAAGGGAAGGTAACCTTTTCCATGCTCTCCTCCCACTCAGAATCGACTGCTTGCTGGGCTTGCTTGCTTGCTTGCTTGCTTGCTCCTCCAAGCCAAGCTCACTAGCAATCATCAGCAGCGTACCACCCCTCCTCAGCTTCACACCACACAGTGGATAGAACGAAAGTCACACAATCCAAGCAGAACCAAATCTGGTGAAAAAAGACAAGGTTGGACGATGCCCATGAGCCATGGCAGTTCACTAATCTGGGGTATGTATATGTTATGTGTATATATATTTGTCAAATGGCGACCGCACCGGGACGCCACAAGAAAAGAGCAACCTTTTGCCTGCAGCGTAGCTAGATGGCTTAGGCCTGTAAAATGGCCGCGGGACAAGACATGAAGCGATCAGTCCAACACAAAAGCGTTCACAGCTGGTTCTCTTCTTTTTGTTGGAGTTGGACTGATGCTCCACCATGAAAAAGCGTCACTAGGACGTCCGCCGCTGCTGGAAGCGGCTTGCGTGTGTTTCCACACATGTGCAGGTTCTCTGAACCTTCAAGCTTTCGCCAAAAGAGACCGAGCACATTCTCAAATCTTCCAAAAGTGGTCCGGTGGGGATAGTCGTCCCGACTGAACCTGGGCTCTGGTGTGCGGAAGCTCTTTGCACCTTTACAAACATGTGCAGCCACTTCATCACCCAAAACATGCCAGCCTGGCTTTTCAGCTAGCTGGAGCACCCTACCATACAAAGGATCATCTGATCCGAATGGAACTCCTAGGTCGCTTCTCAGGTGGGCTTGAAGTTCAGTCGGCTTCTTGGGACTCTTGCCTTTCGAGGGCTGCTTGACGAAAGCTGGTGAGTAGGTCACACACCAGCGGCATTCTGCCAGCACTTTGTGCAGCTGGCTCTGATCCATGGGCTTCGTGCCGCAGTCGATGATCATGTTCTCCGTGCTTGTCCATCGCAGGGAGGTGTTGCACCTGTTGAGCATGGTGCGGATCCAGGCTATGGTGAAGGCTAGGCTTTTCTGCGAGCCATAGCTGGGAGTGTCACTGCAGCTCTTGTCGTAGGCATCTTTGGCATCGGTCACCGTCAGCATGGGCACTGCATCAGTGCTCAAATCAAAGGGCTTCCGGTCGAGAGGATGACCAAAGGCTTCTGCCAAGACACCGCGACAGTATTGGCCCGTGTCCATGGCCTCTTCAATGCCAAGGATCTCAGCCGCAAATGTCGAGCGGCATACTCGCTGCAAGCGATGTGAGCGAGCATCGAGGATCGTGAAGTTGCCGGGACGTCCAGCTAGGAGGTCAGCGTCGGCGATCATCACGAGGTAAGCCGCTTGGCTGTAGACCTTTTTGAGAGGTTCACCTTCTCCACTTCCATTTCGCGTCACATTGCCTAATGAGGCGTCAGACACCGTCAGAATGCCAGCGCCCTTGAGGTTGAGAGGCTTGAAGTGAAGTGCGAAGTTGGAGCGCTGCTTCATCTGGCGCAGGAGGAGGTTGGCTCTCATCAGTGTGCCAATGCACGGCGTTTCGCCTTGGAGCGAGGAGAGCTGGAAGCCACAGTCCACCCTGATTTGGGCCACCAACCATTGCAAGGAGCCTAAAATGGCTCGGAGCTGTTTGTGCTCACCAGGGTTCAAAGGTGAACTTGGATCCTTCTTGCGGTCTGGAGCAATCCGGATTGGTTGAAGATTTTGATGATACTCTTCCATGGTGATCTTGATGGATTTGTCCGGCAATTGCTCAATGTGCTTTCCGCAGTAGGTGAAGCTTCCTTCTGAAATCGCTCCAAATCCGAGCTCTGCACCCAAGGATGTCAGGGTTTCGTGAGCTCGAGAGTTGCCCGCCAAGAGGAGGTCATCCACGTGGGAAATCATCATACCTTCAAGTTGGGCTCCATTTGCACTCCAAAGAAACCAGAGTGCATTGTCCAGTGAGGAAATGCGCCAGCCGCGCTTCGTCACCGCCTTGTTGAGGCGCTTGTACCATCGTCGAGGACTGTCTGCTAGCCCGAAGACACCTTTCTTCACTCTGCATAGTCCGGTCGCAGAGAAGGGCAGCAATGGTTCATCACTGGCTTTGGCCCTGATGTTGGCGAGGTAGAGCACTCGTTCATTCGGCCCGAACTCCTCACCCTTCATGAAGGCAGACTTGATGTCGGCTGACCAGATTGACCATCCCAAGGAGGCAGCAAAAGTCAGCAGCAGGTGTTGAGATGTCCTGCTTGCTGTTGGGGCATCACAACGAATGCCATAGGCCTCAACATCAGCATAGCCTGGCACTACCAGCCTGGCGTTTGCTTGAAGTGGCAACTGGTTTTGCGCTGTTCGAAGGCCATCGTTCTTGTCCACGTAGACGAACCTTGGAGTCAAGATTCGATGACTTTGGCCTTCTGCTTTGAGTTTCGCTCGTATTCGAGCGGCTTCATCATCCGGAGGATCTCCACGGCATCATTGTCGATCCAGACTGACCATCCTTTAGTGGCAGCTTTTCTGAACTCAACTTTCTCATCTTCATTCATTGTGGACCATGGGCGTTCTTTGCGAGCCGTGAGGACTGCCAAAACTTCACGCGTTGCATCCTCATTGCCAAGGGGCCACAATTGTCGCAAGGCTTGACGCCGCTTGAACTCTGTCCTTGAAGGCAATGGCCAGTTTCCTCTCCAGGTACCGTGATCAGGTACTTGTGCTTCTGCTGGGTGTTGATGATCCAGCGCCACTTGAGCTTGTAGTTGGCGGAGAGGGTGCACAGCCGCAAAGGCCATAGTTTCCATCACCTCATGGGACATTATCAGTGCATCATGCGCCATCGTGGAGGGTCGAGGTTCCACCGGTGTTGGCACAGGTTCAGGTGCTTCTTCTTGCGCCTGCTTCTTTGATGCTTCGGCTTCCGGAGGTACTTCTTCAGCTGGTCGTTTCACGCCGCCAGCTCCCACGTCCAGGGAAGTTTGCCTTGACATTCGTTGAGCATAGGCTTGGCGAACCGCCTCAGGAAAGGGAGATTGAGACACCAAAGATCCCGGGCGTGACGAAGTCATTCGTGACCAAGCTGGTTGACTCTGTTCTGCTTTACCTTCTAGCGCTCTCACCATCTCTTGAGGGTGTACTGGAGGAAGGTCAGGAGGGTCTTCTTGGAGTTCTTTATCACGTTCTTGGTCTCCTGGTGGTTCAGACGGCTCATACGAGATCTCATCGTCTGCTCTTGGTTGCGGAGGTGCCGTCAGTTTTGGTTGAGGTCTTGCCAGCTGTTGGTCATGACATGCTGACTCGATCACTTCTTGGATGGCATCTTCCCAAACTGAACTCGCCACCTGTTCCAAGGAACTTGCTGGTCGAAGATGTTCGAGGGCACATTTTGAGAGTTGTCCTCGGTAGCTCACATAGCCATTGTTGTTCTCGAGGGCCACGAGGAGGGCAGGTCCGTGCCATCGGCGAAGACTCAGTTTCTTTCGGGAAGCTGCTGTCTTGTTGTTGTACTTGGACTGCCTGAAGAAGTAGACAATGCTTCCAGGTTCAAGGCCTTGCAGCGAAGTCACCGTAGATGATCTGGATCTCGCCACTTCGGCCTTTCGAAGGCCTCTGCTGAAGTGCAAGCGAAGCATTGCTAAGCGCGCTGTCTCGCGCATTGCCACTTGGCGAGCCAAGCTTGGAGAGGAAGCAATCAGGGAGTGCTCTGAAAGGCGACGTCCAAAATCTCCGAGGCAATCTCCATGCATCCTGGGCTGACGTCCAAAGGCGGCCTGACAAGGAGAGACACCCGCATCAGTGACGTCCGCGTTGTAGCTCATCACGGCTTCCTGTAGAGCTATTTCCATCTCATCTTTGCCGAGGACGCTGTGTGCCTTGATGACTGACCGTGTGAGGCCTTTCAGAACTGCTCCACCTCTTTCGCAGATGCCGTTCTGCCATGGAGCTTGGATCGCTGTGTGGTGGAGGTAGATAGAGTGCTTGCTGCAGAAGCTTTCAAAAGCATGGGAGACGAACTCTTTGCCTTGATCTGCCACCAGTACTCGTGGAGGTCCGAGTATAGGCAGCCATTTTGTAGCCATGAAGCGCTCCACCATTTCACTGCTCTTGTTCTCTAAGACTTCAGCCATTTGGAATCTTGACGTAGCATCGATGGCGTGAATCACATAGAAGCGCTTTTCTTCGATGTCAAAGAGTTCGAAGATGTCCAGGTGTACCTGATCTCCTGCGTCCTTTGGCGAAGGAAGGCTCGCCGGTCGACGTGCCTTTGGTGCCTTTTGTTCATCACATAGGGCACATTTGAGGTGTCGTGCTGCATGCACAACTTGAGGAGGTGCACCTGCCACAGCTAAAGCTCTTGCCAGCCTTTTTGGAGACCGGTGGCCAGTGTTTTCATGTAGCCGCCGTAGAGCTTGCTTCACACCTTGACTGACCTTTTGAGGCTCCTCGAACTGAACATCACCGCCAGGTTCAGAGCCGCTGTCATCGGTTTCCTGCAGAGGTCCTGCAGGGGCTTCTTCATCTTCAAGGTTTTCACCCTCGATGGCCAAGGTGGAGTGAGGCTGCTTGAACTCATGTTCAAACTGACGTTCCATCCCTCTCACAAGCGCTTGCGCCAGCGCCCAAGGATATTGTCCAGCTCGTTGACTGATGGAAGCTCCTCCAATAATTGGAGCATGGGTGTGGTTCCCCAAACATTTCATGCCATCGAGCTCCGCAATGACAAAATCACTTGAAGTGGCGATTCTCGTCGCCTTGCGGTGGAGGTTGCCGTTCACATCGGTGAGCTTGAAACGGCATTGATGGAAATCAACTGTTTTGGCTTCTAACTTTTCCAAGGCTTGGATCATCTCATCTAAGGTCCATGCCCTTGAGCTTTGAGGATTCTCAAGGATGAAGTGCAAACCACGCTCTCGCTGGTCCATAGCCAGTTGGATAGCAAAGCGCAGCAAGGTGATGGCTTCCTGGTAGCGCTCCTCAGCATTGGTTGGAGGGTTCAAGTTCATCAACACACTCCAAAAGGTGCAAGGAAAGGCCAGCACCAAAAAGTAGGGGAGTTCTTTCGCCACCAGTGCTCGAGCAGCTTGCCGATCCAGTTTCTTGCAAAAATTCCAGCCTGTTTCCAGAGACAAAGACGAACCAACTTTGTGCCCTTTCTTCTTGGCTGACTTCATAACTCGCTCCGTGGTGGTGTAGATCTCGGAGACCAGGGTCTTGGGCATCACAGACTCGGAGGCCTTATTCACAGTAAGGATGTCATTCGAATGGGCGCCATCGACGGAGTGCTTGGTGTCTCCAAAGTCAAAAACGAGGGAGGTCACAAACACTCCATGCTGGAAGGCGTCAAAGTCGCGATCCCATTCGGACTGGTAGATCTCATTCACTTCCTTGAAGCCCAATGACACGAGCTTGCGATCGCGCTCATGGCGTTGCCAAGCTTGAGAAATCAATTGAGCTTGTCCTGGCTTGACGGTTTGATGAATGCGCCAGGGGTTTGAGATCAATTCCGGCTTCACTGATCCCGAGGTGGGATTCCATTTGCCGTCCTCCATTCTGCGTCCTGCTCGTAGTAGTCCCTGTTCATCTGCTGGATCTCGTCTTGGGACCATCCATGGAGTTCTTCGGCCGGAGGTTGGCCCATCGTTGCATCGAGAGTCTGACTGATGGGCGGCACACCGACGGCTCCGGGTGTCATCATGTGTTGAAACACCCCGTTCAGCATGCTCTGGAAGCGTTGTTCTTGTTGCGCCAACAGTTGCTGAACTTCTGAGGCCGAAATGCCTGGTTCTGGAGCCTTGGATGGAGTCGGGAAGCCGGCTTTCTGGTAAGCGCCAACTGCGCTTGGAGCCTTGGTCATCGGAGGATGATCCGTTGAGCTTCGTGAAGTCGAACTGCTTGATGTTTTGGCCTTGGTTGGACCCTTTGCCAGCAGTTCTGCGACTATAGGCCGACAGGCGTTCTTGAGCTCCTCGTTGGTCATCTTGGTGTCGACGGGGATCATCAGCAAAGCTGCCAGTTTGAGTAGATCGGACTTCAAAGACGGCAAACCGCCTCTTGGCCCGATCAGTGAGCGGACTGCTTCCACCTGCTCGCCTTTTTGAGTCGCCTCTGCAGCTGCTGCTTGAGCTTCCTTCATGGCTTCCTTCTTCAACTGCTGTTTGATGCCTTTTCCGCTTCTGGCTGCCAGCATTCCTTGAAGGAGATTGTCCTCCATGAAGGCGAATTCGAGGCCAAGGCGATTCCTGAACTGTGAAAGTTCGTGCAGGTTCTGAGTGGAGTACGCCTGGAAGTGGATCGCTCGTTGATGATGCTGCTGAGGGATAGCTCGAGGCTCCTGTCTCCACATGGATGCTCCTTGTTCCGCCCATTGTTGCGTGTGGGAGATGCTTGGGTACGGTAATGGAGCGTACCGCAGTTGCGGCCGTGGATAAAGCCACAAGAGCAAGCCATGGGCGTGCCATCGAGCCTTTGCGCGGAAGCGCAGGATGAGGCGTCGCCATCGGAGGATTTGATGGCTGTATTCGCCGACCGTCAGGTCGTGGATCTCGGGGTTCTGCATGTAGGTCTCGAAGGCTCTGCCGGAGGGCTGCCTTTGAACTTGGAGAGGATGATGTCGTTGGTGCAACACGGGTTTGAGCCACCTGCATAGCTTGAGCCCCAGCAGACATGGCGGCCTTGATGCCGTGCTCCGTCATCAAGTGCTCATGAGGTGCAACTGACATGGGAAACTCATCAAAATGACTAAACCGAAAACGAAGCTGTTTTGACCACCAATCCAAACTGCTCAACTGAAGCTCTATCACACCATCTTGACCCATCTTCCTCCAGCGTTGGGCGTCCGGACGAGGCCAGCTCTTCGGCTGCAAGGTGAGGCAAAAATGGCCTGCCGTCAATTGACCGAGGTCGATCATCTCCCCATTGACGAGGTCGGCCCGAAGTTTCCTTCTCCCAAAACTCAAAACAGCACCGATCCCGGAGAGAAAATCACGGCCCAATAACAAACCGAGGGAGGCGACAGGGACGATGCTCACCCATACCAAAATCAATGTAGAACCCACCATCATGGGAAGTCGATATCGAACTGTGCTTCGCTGGGTGCCCCCATTGCCAAATCTGAAAAGCTCATCCTCTTCCACCGTTTGGATGAGCTGTTGGATTTCTTTGGGCGCTTTCTCCAAGGCCCGGAGGTACACCGACAACCACAAGCTGCCAGCACATGTTCTGTTGCAGGCGGAGTCGAGTGCGCCCACAAAGCGCTTGTCCGAAGCCAGGGTGGCGGTGCCATCAACCTTCAAGGCCTCCTTGAGGCTCAACTGGGCTTTCAACTCAACTGAGGTGGCCATCACCTCATGGGCTGCCAAAGCATCGGGATCTTCTTCTGCAACTGGGAGGAGATGTTCGGTGTTCAAGGTCTCTGCGACCCGCACCTGTTTGGCCTGTTGAGGAAGGCCTTTGCCCTTGCCTTTTGGCTTGCCCAATCCTGCACCCGGCTTTGGACAACCGGCGTCACCAGCCCAATGGCCAGGCTCCCCACAGTCGAAGCAGCGTGTGTTTGCTTTCTGCTTCGGCACTTGGTTGCCGTGGGGTTTTGGCTTTTGGCCAAAAGGAGCTGCTTTGCCATATCCTCTGTCCTTCTTGACTTCCTGGATCTTGGAGCGGGCTTCACGCATGGTGGCCAGACTCTCTGCTGCCTGTTCCATGCCGGCTTCAAGCTCATCCAGGACATTGGGGTCACAGCCCTGCTCTTCGAGCTCTTGCAGCTCAGTGGCCAATTGTTCGGCCTCAGCTTGAAGGACCTCTTCTATGGTTGCTGGGCCTGCCTCTTCATCTGGCACCAGCTCTTCTTCGTCAGCCTCTGGAGAAGCATCATCTTCTTCCGGCAGCTCGGCCACATAGGCCTGTCGTGGAGGCCCGGAGTTGGGGTTGCTCCCAAATCTTCGAAAGGGCGGCCGACTGCCTTGAGATCCTTGAGTGCGAAAGGACCTCACTGAGGAAGGTGCTGTAGAGCTCGCCGAGGTCGAAGAGGATCTGTATGACGAAGTTTGTCCATTGTGGGACTGAATGTACCTCTGCAAGAGAGGAGGCTTCTCAGGCTGTCGAGACCGGTGGAGAGGATCTGCCGTGTGGAGGTCACGGAAAAGTCGAAGACACTCAGTCTCCACCACATCATAGGCCTCTTTGCCAGCCAATGCTGTTTCCAACAGCTGCTTGCGGATGGGGTCAAGTCCCAACCTTTCTTTCAACATCCATCCAAGTTCTTCTTCATGAAGATGGATTCCTTCTCTTTTGAGCTCTGCCGCCAAGGTGCGGTAGCGAGTGCAGAAAGCTGAGATCCGCTCGCCTGGATTTCTTTTGATCTCTTGGTAGAACTGGGCTCTGAGCTCGCCCTTGCGGTCCAAGGCGGACTTGCCCACCGTCGACTCCAGGGCGTTCATCAGCTTCTCGATCCCAGCGAAGGGATTTGCTTCGACCCGGATGATCTTCTCACCACTCTCTGGGTCTTCCATGCTCTCCTCCTTGGTCCCCTCGAGGTCGCTGGGGTCGAACTCCTCGCAGCGGGCTCTGACAACTCCATGTTGTCTCAAGGCCCATTTGGCCGCGATGTTGAACTTCTTGCACTGCTCTGGATCCAAAGATGCCAACCACCAGCTCATCTCCCTACGGAATGATCTCCATTCCGAAGGGTTCCCGTTCCAGGTTGGCACCCGGAACCATGAGGAGGTCCCGCTCTCCTCACCTTCGGGCATGGCCAAAATGGCGTGTTGCCCTCAAAAGAACTTGTTCAGCTCCTCCAGCGCGAGGAGCTTGTCGAGCAAAAAGGGCCTAAGGCCAAGTGGGCACTTGCTATGCAAGTGCGGTGCAAGGAAAACAAAGGGCTCTTCAAGGCCGGAGTCCTTAGACAAAGTTGGGCTCCCGAAGTGAGCCTCCAAAGGCAAAAAGGCGGCCACAGCCAAAAGGTCGAAGCTCGGCGGCTTCGAAGCAAGCAAGCGAGGAGGCCTGCACAGGACCTCAGGCAGCCTCAGCAGAGGCTCGAAGACGAGGAAGGTGTGGTAGTCGAGAAGGCCACCACTCTCAAAGACAGTGAGGAACCGAAAGGAGAAAAAGGAAGGCAAAGACAGGGAGAAAGCCGAAAGGAGCGGAGCGGCAGCGTGCGTGCCCTGCAAGGACTCAGGCTCCGGCGCCACTGTCAAATGGCGACCGCACCGGGACGCCACAAGAAAAGAGCAACCTTTTGCCTGCAGCGTAGCTAGATGGCTTAGGCCTGTAAAATGGCCGCGGGACGAGACATGAAGCGATCAGTCCAACACAAAAGCGTTCACAATATTACATAATTAAGATATGCTTGGGCTTGACTTGCGGTCCTTGCATTGCAAGTGATGGTGTCTTGACCTAATGAGCTAGGCTTCGTATTGGGAAGCGGTGCATCGGGTCCATCCAGCTTCTTCAACAGCTCAATGGCGCCTATCCGCAGCTGGTTGTCCCAAAGTGCGTTCTCATTCGGCTGGCAAGAAAATACAAATTCTGAAAGCTGTGGAATCAGGCGGACCGAAGAGAACCTCGGACCTACTCCCAAAATGACTCTTTCATAAGAACTTCTTGCATATCTTTCAAGAAACCGTATCTGAAACACCATCCCTGCTTATTCCCATGAAGGAGCACAACATAGAGAACGCTCAAGCACCTCATGCTCTTTTTGGAGTTTTTGAAAACATGCTCTGGAAAAGGCACCCTCACCCTCAACGTGCAAATATGCGATTTGTTGTGACATGTCGGTTGTAGCCTGGTGCTCGGAACTGATCCAGGAAGTTCCGCAAGCGACGCAAGGCACTATCTTGGCGACGCTCAATGACCTCCCAGACTTCCATGGCCACTTCACCGATGCGGCTCTGAACCTCTCAAGGACAAGCGTCTGTGTCTGACAATGGGATGGACGCTCGCTTGATCCTCTAAGCTAAGAAACACTACAGTAGTAGTCACACGAGGTGGATGCTTCCCCACAAAAGGAGCTCTAATTCCTGCGAGCTGGTGTCAACCAGACCGTTGAACTACAAATTGAGCCTCCCTTGTTACAACACCAAACCACATTGAAAGTGTTCCTCGCTGTATCCCGCATTTGGTAAGAAGCATGGCAATTTGATCCAGGTTCCATAGTCTGCAGTCGACCCAATGGCACCTCGTCCTGGAAGAAGCGGATCACCTGTGTCTCCAGCCTTGCCAAGAAACTGGCTCCGACTTGGGTAGTGCAGGTCGATGAAAACCCCAACTTTGATGTGCCAAGTTTAGACATGTCTCATGAGAAATCTAGCTTGTAAGTATATTTATATATACGCACTACAGTATTACATAGACATAGACAATGCTGGAAGGTCAAGCGGCATGCGGTTCACGTGGAGCTCAAAGCCCTCCACCGACTGCCCACCCTTGCCATCCTCATCCTGGGACTCGAATGTCAATGCAGGTGAGTGTATCGTATTTTAGCATCCAGAGGTGCTAAAGTAGACATGTTGATTCATCGTGACTAGTAGCGTCCTTGCTACTAGTAGCGATGGCCTTAGCATCCTTGCTCCTAGCAATAAGGCCAGGAGCCCTAGTAGCTTCTTGCTTCTAGTAGCGATGCCAGGAGCCCCTAGTAGCGTCCTTGCTAGACTCCAATCATTGACCGGCCATTCAAGACCTCCCGTCAGCCTGCAGCGACGTCTGGAAGAGTGGCACGGCAGTTCTCAACGTCCTGACAACTCAGGATCATCGGAATCATTTGTAATCGTTGTAATCCTGTGTGTGTAACTCTGTTCCTAAACGATCCACACACTATAACAACACAGTTCCTCCTGTATATTTTTTTTAAATCAATGTACAGTTCACGCAGGGGGCAACGGCCAATCTTCCAACATTGCCCAACGAAGCTACGGAAGATTAGTGGACGCATTCAGGGACGCCTGAATGTGTACCTGCACCAATGTTAATTTCACTTTTGAGCTGATGGTTTTAACAATATTGTTGCGCACTCTTGCACCTTGCTGTTTGCACAGGGCCATGTTGCAGGCATCAGGTTCTCAGCGCTCTAATCTGGTAATGCAGTAACTAAATTGGGAAATTCGAAACTGACTACGCTCTTGCGAGCCTTATATCTAAGTAAGCTGGCATTCTAGTCACCCCTGTATGATTGCCAAATCACTTCAACCAAGTCATACAACTGCACCTCGCCTGTTCGACCTATTCATCAAACCTCGGAACTTCACACAGCAACGCAAGAAGCGCCTGGATTTCTGCTCACGATCCTGGAAGCAGCGTACAGACACGATGGGTTCCACGGAAAAACAGAACGGCTCAACATTGTCATGGGTAAGTTGCGCAAACGACTTCCAATGATGCTTAGAAGACACGATAGCCTCCTCAAGCCTTGCCATGCTAAACGAGAGGTCGTCTCTGATGCTATTTCTTTCTTGAACCCAGTCCTTGTAGTGCAGAACACGCACCCGGCAAATGGGGCAGCTATCATTCTCCAGTAGCCATACTTGGATATGATGTTTGCAGTAGCTATGTCCTCAGCATTCTGGAGTACAAGTGTCTTAGCAATAGTGTCTTGTCAGTCTTATCAATATATAGATGGACTACCGGAGTCTCCATGAACAATGCAATCAGGATGCCACAGGGGAGCGTGACAGGAGACACCACCAGGTCAAAGCAAATGTTGCACTTTAACTCCTGGACACATTGGGCACACGTTGGGCATTGAGCAAGAGAACAAATGAGAAGAAGTGAGAAAGCATCTGATTCATCTGTCTTAAGTTATTCATTGTGCTGAGTCTTCCTCTTGACCTCACAACCACGTAATCCCCAGGCCTCCCTGTGTGTTTGAGAACGAAGCAACGTGGGCACCACCGCTTTCACATCGCAGTTCAGCTCATGTCGTGCACCAGTCATGAGCTTCTTCATCCTAAACCAATGCTTTTTTGGAAGAACAAAGAAGTAAAAGCGATCGCATCTTATCGTCTCACAAGCAATATCAATTGTCAATCATCCGTGAGTATTAGCGCAGTGCAAAATATATTATCTCAAGAAAAGCTGGCAGTGAGCATGCTCTTGCAGCAACTTGCTGGCCTTCGTATCTGGGCATCCATCGCTATGTCCAAGTTCAGCTGTTGTCCTGTCCCAGTGGAATGCAAGGGGTGCTTGACTAGGCTGATGATAATGTTTCACTTTTTCCTTCAGAGGCGGCGTTGTGGAACATTTGACAGAAAAGGGATCGTGAAACTAACTGCAGTGAAAGTCTATCAGGCAAAGGAATGAAGACTTCCATCAAGAGCTTTACTGTGAAAACTTCGTACAAGCTTGTCATTCTTTGTCTCCTGAAGGGAAAGGCCGGTCACACACAGGGCAGTTCGGCCGCAGCGTCATCGGCAGGTTTTCCTGGGGAAAGTAGACAGCTGAGCGTTCATTGTCAATTCATGTTGATGAGGCGGCTCTTTCACACAGGCTGCACAAGCCGTCTACAAATGATAATGCCAGCAAGCTTCAGTGTCAAGATCCTGCAGCGCTGCATTCCAGATCTTCTCTTCGGACATAAAAAACCTGATCTGATGGCATCGCTGGGTAACAAGCACGGCCCGTCGGATTTACAAGGTAATCTGCTCCTGTTTGATGGGATGTTGGAAGAACAATGGATGACTTGGTTTTTGCCAGGTTGAGAACATTTGGGATATATAACCACGCCTTGACACGATGGATTTTTACAGCAGGCTGGCAAGGCGATAGCAGCGAACAATGCAAATCAATTTTGCGGAAAAATCGAACAAAATATTGTCTTCGGACTTCCAGCGCTTTCAAGGTGGGGAAGACAGCTCTTGGAAACCACGGAGTAGCTGATGGCTTGGTTGACAAGTTGCCTTTTAACTTGTTTGTTTGCCTCCTTGCATTTGGGGTGTTGCTTGGCTGCTAGAACTAGGTTTGATTCGACTTGGTTTGGCATGGAACAGCTGGGGGCTTAGGGAGAGTGTCCCCTGAAAAGCAAAATCAGCCAACACTTGTATCCAATAAGCCGCCCGTGCATCGTTGCTTGACTTGACTGGCTTCAGGTTGATTGGTTTGAATAAGGTGGTGGAGGAGTGCATCCACCACCCGAGAGGAGATGCAGGTGTTGCTTGACCAAAAGAACAGCTTATATGGTAGAAGCCGAAGCAGAAGCAATGAAACATAGCAGATTTTCACCAGGATTGCATGAAAAGCTTGCAAATTGTATAGATGTCTTACAAGGCTTTGGCTTGAGGAACTTGGAGGGGGTTGGGAGGCCACCAGATCAAACGAAAACGAGAACTTATCTGGCAAAGGAAGCAAGTAACAGGAAGCAGCTAGCAGAATGTGGGGCTTTCCGCAGGAAAGAAAAGCCTGCAGAAGATATCTGTTGTCACCCCTGCAGTAAGATAGAGCAGAACAAAAGCGAATCTTCAAAGAAAGGCACCACAGAAGTAAGGAAAGGCGCAAATTTCAGAAACTAGATGCAAAAACACTTGCGGAAGAGAAAAGCGAAGGTGACAAGAAAAGACACGAAGTTGGCACAAAAAGCAAACAAGTGCAAAAAAGAATGTAAAGAACTACCTGTTCAAAAAAATAGAAACCAAAAAAGGCAACAGTGCCCTGAAAACCAAGAAGAGCAAAGAGCCCAAGAAAGTCAAAAACAACGAACGAGCAAGAAACACAAACTTCAAGCAGAAAGAAAGGAACGAGATCCGACCAAGTGTCAAAAAAGTTGCAACCATCCCAAAAATTTCCAACTGTCTTCAAGTGGATTCTTTGTAGCTTGGACTTGCATCCCCTTGACAAAACACTCAGGTTCCTTCAAGCAATTGCAGCGGAGGTGGCACATCCACTTTGCCGTCCAAATGAACTCGTTGCACAACTCCTGCAGAGAAAACAAAATGAGTCTATTTGTGAGTTTCTTGTTGTGACCGATTTGCGTTTTTGCATTGTTTCACGGCAGAATCGTCTTGCGAAAGAGCTGGGAAAATGAACAAGACTTCAGACTTCGTCACCACCTCCAGAACCATGATCAGTTGTACGAACAGAATATGAAAGAAGATGATGCTTCTAAAGGCTTCCTGGTTTCAAGAAAGCACTGCACTCCTACATCGCTACTCTGAATGCGGCCCCAGCTATAGGCAGGGTCTCGTCCAGCAGGAGGACTCACTCGCACGCGAACTCCTGGAGTTCCGCAAAAGCAGCTCTACGACAGTAGAAATGCACTTTGTTCCAAGTAGCTTCTTGTTCCTGGTAGTAAGACCAGGAGCTACTAGTAGCGTCCTTGCTCCTAGTAGTAAGGCCAGGAGCCCCTAGTAGCTTCTTGTTCCTAGTAGTAAGACCAGGAGCTACTAGTAGCGTCCCCGCTCCTAGTAGTAAGGCCAGGAGCCCCTAGTAGCTTCTTGTTCCTAGTAGTAAGACCAGGAGCTACTAGTAGCGTCCTTGTAGTAAGGCCAGGAGCCCCTAGTAGCTTCTTGTTCCTAAGTAGTAAGGCCAGGAGCTACGTCCTTGCTCCTAGTAGCGATGCCTTTGTTTCTAGTAGTGTCCTTGTTACTCCATTTAACTCGTCTTACTTTGTCTTGCGACAATGCCGGTCAGCCTCGGGTCAAAGATTGTGCAGCAAATGTGGGAGCGTCAATGATCACCTGCCTTTCAATGTGTAAGATATATACAACTATACTTACGCTGAAACAGCTTTGAAGGGAAGCATCACTGTGACCAATTGTCTGCCCTCCGTCTGAGTGACAGTGGTGCTAGCACTAGCATCACTCACCTGTGTCACCTATAGCCTATAGGTCTCTTGGAGGCGTTTAGAAAAGGGTCTTTAGTCTGGAGCCTTGAAGAAAAGGTTTCGTCAAACGCGATGCGTTTCGTCTTTCGTTTACGATTCAATCATGGTCCTTTGTTGCAAAGGAAATAGGAAACAACCAGAACTCAGCTGTTGACAAAAAGTCAGAAATGTGTAATTCCAGAACAATACATATACATACTATATACGCAACCATTTCTCAAAATACAGCATGCATGCATTGCAAGCATCCGCTTGGCTCCATGAAATGTCCCAACGATTATGACTCCTGGCTGGATGCGCTCCGCTGCAGGTGCTGCTTCCAACATGCTGACACTCACCGATGGCATTGCCAGGGCCTTTGGCAGACACACATAGTACCTGCAAAGAAAACGTTTGAGTTTTGATCTTGCTACGAACAACTGGTGGGAGAGTCTCTTGCGAATAATCTCCCCGACTTCACCCATATTTGATCGTATTTGGAAGGCCAACAACTTCCATCTGCGTGCACATCAATCCTGCGGAATCCCTTCAAATCAAGGGGGCACTGCAAGTCCCGGGAGCCATCCGGCTGAAGCTGATACACTTGATCGCAAATCACTCCTCCCAAACAAGTCTGCAGCGTGCAAGGACAAAAATCTGCTGGTATGTTGGGGTCGATGCGTTTTTGTGGCTTGCTTTGGGGACATGGAATGTGTATATATATATAGATTAGTTGATTGGTAATGCCAAATGTTTGGAGATTTTCCCTTGAGGGAAGACTTTCAGATGTGCTGATTGTTTTGCCATGTTGTTTCTTTTTTGTTGCTTGCACCGAGCAGGAACAATTAGGGTGCAGCCTTTGGGGGAAATGCCACAGGCAAATCCGTGCAGGTTCGGCCTCCACTGTGCAGAGTCAGTGATTTTTTTGATGCTCCCAGCTTGGGCTGAGTCTTGTAGCGTGGTTGACTTCGCCAAATCTATCATCTGCATCAAAGCACAAATCCACCCCCGCGTGAAGAACAACTTGCTTCCGTATCAAACTGCCATGGGTCTCCAGCAAAGTGCAAATCACAGCAAGAGAAATCGCAGCTTGTTGGCCGGCGGATCCCTACCCTTTCCTGAAGGGGGACATCAGAAAATGTAAATTAGATTTTCCTATGTTTGGAAACTGAAAAAACATAATTACATTTGTGTGCAAATAGCCTGGAAAAATGCAACTTGCATTTGTTCAGGCCCCAAGTGTCATACACTGGGCAACGACCTCCAAAATGTAAGTTATATTTTTGGAGCCCGGATCTAGGGTGTTCTCATTCTCACCTTTGCAGAGCTTTTCTTGTGCTGCTCGACCAGTGAGTCAGCAGTGCGTCTGTCACAATGACGGAACATGGCAAATAGAACAGGCGGACCTTGGCACACTTTTTCCAGAGTCCATGGGAACTTCCGACAATCCCATCTCTGTCTCACTACCGCAAAATCTGGCTCCTACGCTCGTGAGGTCAATGCTGTTGGGCAGGACAGACCTGCCAGGATACTCCCTAAGAATTGGGAAGTTGGCAGTGAAACACTACACAATCACAATACAGCAGTGCATCATCATTCAAAAGAATACAGCTCAGCTTCACAAAGCAGACTCCACAAAAGCTGGCAGGTTCGACAGAAAGCCTACTGGAAGGACTTCAACATCTTCCACCCGTACAGCTTGTTAGTGTGCTCATCAACGTCGCACCTGGCAGCTTCCTTGAAGCGCACGCGGCTGCCACGCGCCAGAGACCCCACCCACCCGCTGGGTGTCTCCAGCGAGGCTTCCTTCATGGGATCTCCGGCGAGGCCTGCAATATGTGCGAAATAATCGACATTGGAAGCTGCTAGCAAAAGCAAATCATTGAAGCATGCGTGCACAATAAGCATGTATGTATATATATAACAAATCTGTATGAACCAATGAAGTTCAGAGCAAATCTTGCAAACTTCAATCACGTGCAGCACCTTCTTCGACGGTGGCTTTAAGACCCGCAGCCGTAAGCCTGGCTGTGCATCCAAAGGTGTCATGGGCATCCAAGAAACCATGAATGGCATCAAATTATGAACAAGAAGAACAGTCGCCATTGTGAAAGCCAAGTGGAAATGACACGTTAATCCAGCACCTCTCCACTACTTTGGTGGCTTGTTCGTGATTTTGTTCCCGGCAAAGATCAGCAGAACCTGCAATCACCGCAGAGCAAAAACGCAAACGCTACTGAAGAACAGCTCTCCTGAGAGGTCTCCAAATGCGTTTTAAAACTTGGCACACCGCTCCTAGAAATGTGGTGTTGCCGCGCCACAATAGACTAGTGACTAGACAACCAACAACCCTGGGCAAGTTAAGCAATTAGCACTGATTTTGAGCAACAAATGATCGGAATGCTCACAAAGCTTCTTTTGGCATCACTTTAAGGAAAGATCATTCGAACTGCCCCAGAAGCACCTTGAGGCAGAGTGCTCCGCATCTGGGCCACCATGGCATCTTCACCGGACCAGCCTGGACTGCTTGTCTGTGACTTTCCATGAAACAACGAGAGAGGCACATGGTAATGGCCCGGATCACACTCGAATAAATACTATTAAACTACCAGTGCATTCATGTAATTGCCCTGAAACACATTTTAAAGAACAAAAGTTAACCCAGCTTTGCGAACCAACAGCAGGTAGCAACTCAGTTATCTGGGATTGTCAAGCATTCCAATTATGTGTTGCTAAAGTTCCCAAGCCGAATCCCAAATGCAATTGTTAAATGCAAAGGGGGCTGGGGTGGAGCTGGGGAGCTCGGGAGCGAAATTGGGAGCGAGAACTGGGTTCCAGGAGCTGGGGGGGCAAGCAGAAGGAAAGCGCATCAGAACTGCAATAACGGATAACGTTGATCCCGGCACAAACGCGTGTTTCTAGGTACACGTGCAACTGCCTGCAGCCTTGCCGCGCGTCCAACATGCTTTGTGCTGCAGAGAAACACTGCTTCGTAGCGAAAAGCTGTTGCGGTCATTAAAAAAAATGCCTGCTAGTTCCTAGGTATGGTATGTATGTGCCTTTGCTGTCCCTAAAACATGCTTTGCACCGAGCAGAAAGAATACTTCGCGACCGAGACATGCACGTGCCACAAGTGGCCGGCATAAAGGCACTTTACTGAGTCGAGCAAGTACCGGACCATGTTTTGTACTGCGTGAAGGACGCTCTGTGCTGCACACACTATGCGCGGAACACCGCGGAGCTACTACTGAGGGGCACACGCAGTTCATTCTGTTCCTCCAGCGCAACCACGTGAGGCCATCAAGCCACGGATCTGCGCACAGCCCCTGACCAAATAGCACCCAGCTTCCTTGTGCCAGCGCCCAAAGTTCCAAGGTTGGCCGATCACGACGCAGTAGGGTTCCAGGCTGCAAGGCTTCAGTGGCAGCATTCAGGGTTCCAAGGTTCCCGGCTGGAATACTCCGAGAAATTGAAGCCCAATTGCATTCTGCTGCCGGAACGGTCAGTGCGGTTCCTCTCTGCCAATGTCTCAGCGGGCAAAACAAGACAGCCACCAGCCACCAAACGCCTCTGCCCTTTTTGCCTCCACCTCACCCAGAGTTCCAAGGCTCAAGGGTTCCAATGCAGCATTCTGAACACTGAGGCTTCCAAGATGGCAGCACCCAGGGTTCCAACGTTCCAGGGTGGCACTTGACAGCACAAAATGGTTCCAAGGAAGGGTTCCAACACATAGCACCCAGGGCTGCAGGGAGGAGGACGCGGGTGACAAAATTCGCACCACTCCCAGCCCCAGAGATTGACACCCAACTGCATTCTGCTGTTGCGAATAACCTAAAATCACCAGCATGTTTGCTACTACACTTGCTGCCAGAAGGTGATTCCTCGAACCCGAACCCGATCAACCGATCTCAACTGATTGAAATCGACCACAGCTTCAAAGCGACAGCTGGTGCCTCGCTGCGGCCACGCCCAGCCCTCTCTAGGAGGGGCAATGGCAGGGATGATCAACGAGCGCAACTGATCCTGGTAAACCATATCTACCTGGACAAACGCGTGGCGTTTCAGGAGAATTCTGGTTGGCATGCCAGCTCCAATGACTCTGTATTGCAAAAGACTGTATGGGCACACAGAGAATGTGTTGCATGGAGTAACATTTTATCTCTTAGACTCTTGCGCTTGTTGCTGTATCTGTCTTTGCCAGGACGCCGGAATCCCAGCTTGAAAAAACTCTGGATCCATATGCAGAACCACCTCAGCTTATGAAAACACTGGCACGATCACAGGGTTCTATTCGCTTTTGTTTTCTTGTTCCTTAGACCTTATTGTTTTTGTGTGTCTTTCGTTTCTGGCCTTTGGTCTTGGACTACCCTTACTACTGAGAAGGCTTCAAAAAAAGGACAAGAAAGCTTTTGGGCAACAAACTCAATCTCCAGTGCCACCAAGTTGGCTTAGCACCTTGCGTCCAAGGCACGCGATATCTCAGCTGCTGCTCTGGAACCTGCTAAGAAAACAGAAATGCAAGCTGCTATGTGAGCACATGACCAACACAGCACGGCTATGACGCTATACTGGACCGAAATGTCTGGTACCATTGTAACATTGTAAGTTATTCCTGCATCATTAGCCAAATAAGAATCCAGTTCAAAGCACTCTGTTCCCCACCATACCTTTATCAGCGCTGACAGCTGGTTTAGGAACTCAGAGACTGGAGCTCAGTTTGTGTTTGTGTGTGGACATCATAAATCTCAAGAGTGTAGAGTGCCTTACACTTTCCTCCTGGCTGTCTTGCAGCAAATCCTATCCATGCTCTGCGTCCCATCCGTATGGCGCCTTCGGTTCCGGCAACGTCAAGTGCAAGTGCAGTCCGTCCAGGGCCACCTGTGCACGAACCGCTGCATCCTGCACGCCCGGCGCCGGGGCGAAGATGTAGACAGAGCGGTCAGGCGCATAGCGCAGCACATGGAGCCCCACAGCACGGAGCATAGCAAAGCTGCCAAAGGAGTTGATGAAGCTGGAAAACTCCTGAAACAAGGGAAGGAGTTTGGGAAGGTACTGGGGATGGTACTGGAAGAGGCGTGCTTATATAAGGTACTTGATACTTTGGACGGTGTTTCGTGCTTTCTTTGAGCATGAGCCTCTAAGGGTACTTTGTTCAACTGTGTTCTACATTCTACATGTGTTCATAAGCTGAGTTCAAGTCCCTGCATTGCAACATCAGGCGGTACTCTGATGTATCGGTGCCTTGAAACAGCAATAGGTTCATCCTCTATAGATCTTCCCAGAAGCATTGATGACAAAATCCTTCCCTGCATATGGCTTCCACAGCTCTCATGGCATGTTTCTTGAGCTCCACACACTCAGCAAGCTGCTTGAGCATAGCATGCAGCCTCAAGGCGGGGGCCATGACCGCCATGACTTGTCCCGGTCACCACAGACTCATGACCGTGACTCCGGGGCCCTTGCTGTGCCAATGTCTCCTCACTGGCCTTACCATTCTTCAACCGAAGGATGGCATCTTCGATGGGATCTATGCTTTCATCCACTGCCTCCAAACAACTTCAAGAAAAGGCTCAAAAGTTTCTTAACCACATCTGTCACACTCTCTGTCTCTCTCGTCCAAAGCAGTGGAACAGTCGCTTGTGAACCCAACTCGCTGCACCTCAAGCTCATTGATGAAACCACTCCACACACCTAGCCAAACCCCCGATGCCCAGACTCCACCAAAAAAGAAGCTCAAAGGACCATTCTGCAGTTCGACAATCTAGGCGCGCCTTCTTTGATTAGCAGCCGTGCTTGGCAACCATTGATGGCGACCACTGTGGCAACACCATCCACCTGCAGGAGACCCCAGCCGCGCTTCGGTGTGACACCAGCGCCTCAGAATTTGGCTGTCGTCCTAGTTGAGCCCTTGACATGGCGAGCAAAGAGCCTTCTATAGCCTTCAAACTAGTGCGACAACCGCACCAAGTGCCAGGCAAACTATGTGTCGATTACAGTGTTATCATGACATCCAATTAATTCATGAAACGAAACAGGGTTTCGGGCAAAGAATGCATTTCGTCTCCAGTTCAATGAACTAGGGATCCTGACGAACTCTCACTCGAACATTGGGGCGCACCATATCTCCAACCTTGGAACAAAAATCACCAAGAATACTAGCATGGCCAATCTACGAAGGCAGGACGTCACTGGAAGCATCACAATTTGGCGTAAACGTATTGTCAGTCAGGCCAAGTAGACGTAGCAGGCCGCATCCTCATTCTGCAGCCAAGTGTCAGGATCAATCTCTAGCTCATCCTCAGTCAGCCGACAGCTACTAATCTTGAAACCAGCCACAGTGCTGCATTGCATTTCACAATACTATTTGGATAATTTGGCCATGTTTGAGCAAAGCTTCCTTCTGACAATGCCAACTAGATTGCTCAGCGAAGCTAACCCAGGCTTGCGTGTCCTCTTCCTTGACAACAACACCTGGGGAGGCTAGGTGAAGAGGTGTTTGGAGCATCCAACTGCATCACATCAGGCTAACACGAGTCCTACGAAAGGCTGCAACTGGAAGGTGTCCATCACTGGGTGCGGCACCTACACTTTCGTGGGACACCTTAGCTGGAAAGACATGTGGCACTCCTCAACACTTGCTGCTCATCTGTCCTCTAAAGAGGAATATGCTGCTTGCAACAGCTGTGACTTCAAGTTATTAAAGACGCAGTTTGTCCTTTTCAATCCAAGCTGCAGCGCCCCATTCAAATTTGGGGTGCTCCACCTAGCAGGAGGAAACATCGCACAAGATTGGTATATCTTCTTGAAGGTACAAGATTTGCCAGGCTAAGCGGGAGTGAAGAAGAAAATAGAATCCAAGGGAAGGGATCCAAGAGCCTCGTCATACACAAGGGCTACAATTAGCGGCCTTGCTCCTAGTAGTAAGGCCAGGAGCCCCTAGTAGCGTCCTTGCTCCTAGAGCGATGCCGGGAGCCCCTAGTGGCGCCCTTGCTCCTAGTAGTAAGGCCAGGAGCCCCTAGTAGCGTCCT